CTTAAACATAGAGTTGGACACAGTGGCAGATGCCTGTCATCCCAGCTGCCTGGAAGGATACTGCAGGAGCATCACAAGTTTGAGGTGAATCTGAGCAATGTAGTGAGACCCTGAATTGATTTAATATGCAGAAGGAGAGGTAGATCAGTGCTAGGAGTGCTTGTCTAGCATGGGTTCAATCTGCAGCACTGCCAAACGACCACAGCACCTTATATACATAATTGCCATCTGGCCCAGAATTCAACTTAGGTATGTAACCAAAACCACTGAAAACAGGGATTAAAAAGGAATTTCTATGCCAGTGTTCACTGACACATTAATCACAACAGCCAAAGGTGAGAATAACCATGTCCTTTTCAATTGCTAAGTGGACAAAAAATGTAATGTGTGTGTACATGTGTGTGTGATGGAATGTTATTTAAATGGCCAGAGAAGACATTCTGAAACTATAGTATGGTTAGCTCTGAAAACATTATATCAGCAAAATAAGCCAGATATAATAAAAGAATAAATATTATATGATTCTATGTATAGGAAATATCTCTATGAGGCAAATTTATAGAAAAGAGATTAGAGGTTTCTAGGGATTAGATGGAGGAACAACAGGAGATACTCCTTAATAGGTAGTATAGAGTGGGAGTTTGGAGTAATGAAAAAGTTTTAGAACTCTATAACAGTGATAACTACATGATACTGTGAATAACTGATAACTGTACAATTGATACAACTGTTCAACTGATAGTTGTATTAATAATAATTATACATATAAGTATGGTTAAAATGGAAAACTTTATGTTTCACATCTATTGGCTTTTGTTTTGTTTGACACAAGGTCTCGCTGTATTCAGGGTGGGCTTACACTTACTATATAGACCAGGCTGGCCTCAAACTTGAAGCAATTTTCCTCCCTTACCCTCCCATTGTTGATATCACAAGCATGTGCCACTACACCTGGCCCCTTGGTATAGTTTTTTTTTTCTTTTTGGCAGAACCGGGGATTGAACTCAGGCCCTTGCGCTTATTCCAGTGAGCTATCTCCCCCCCCCCATGGTATAGTTTTAATATGACTTCAATTGTAGAATCACAGCTGGACATGGCAGTGCACCCTTGTAATTCTAGCACTTGAGAGGCTGAGGCAAAAAAGACTGTTGTGAGTTTCAGCACATCTGGGCTACACAGTGAGTTCAAGGCTAGCCTGAACTACATAGTAAGATCCTGTCTCAAAAAAGGAGAAAGTTGTAGAATCACATGAATTGATTAACTAGTCAATAATTAGGTTAGAAAACACTATATGTGAAAAAAAAATCAAATAATTGCTTCTACCATGTTCACTTTCTTGGCTTGTTTCTTATCTAGGGTATAGAACAGCTGTTATCACTGACATCAAAACAAATCTGTAATGGGACCTGTGGCACAGTTCTTACAATTCTAGCACTCTGGGAGGTTGGGGAAGGATGATCATAATTTCGAGCCTAAAGTGGACAATGCAGTGATTTAGTGAGACCCTCTCTCAAAATTGAAAGAAAGGCTGGGGATATTGCTCAGTGTAAAAGCCCTGGGTTCAGTCCCAACTAGAGTCCCCCGAAAACTATTACACAGACCTTAGAAAAATGTATACTTCCATATTTTTTCTATTTTAGTGAAAAGCAGCACCTTACTTAAATGCAGTTATGGTGTGATTGCCACATTACCTGTCTTTATATACCCAGCAGGAAAGCTTATCACGAGGGGTGGGTGGTTGTCCTTCAAAGTTGGTGATTTTTTCCCAAACATAGGTTCCATCTCTTGTTCGTAAATTAACAAAATAAAGCTTTTAAAAGACAAAAATGCTATTAGCAGAGAGTGCATTTGAAAATTAAATTTACATCAAGGGGATTTAATCTAAAACTTAATGATCAATTTTTTACTTATTTATTTTTTATTTTTTGGTACTGGGGATCAAACTCAGGACCTTGTGCTTTCCAGGCAGGCGCTTATGCCACTGAGCTATGTCTCCAGCCCAATTTTTATTTTTAATAGGTAAAATTGCTAACTATTAGTAATTTACACTTAAAGAATTAGTGAAAACAAGATTTTAGAAGCAAAAAGGCTACTACAGACATACTGAGGTGCATTTATCCCACCGTGTTTTTTTTCCATGGTACCAATGTGCAGCAGATTCTGAAGCAGACGTCACAGAAGGAGAGCAAGACTGGAGATGCATTTTCCATCTATCTTTAAAACCCTCCAACTAAAAAGTAGGTTTCCTAACTTGTCTTCTTTTAAACAACATTTCCTGTACTTATTTTCTTTAAGAACTATTCCTAAACGTGAGAGTTGAGATGATACAGTAATTTCACATTTTGCTGCACTCCTTAATGAAAAGAAAGTATTACTCGGTTGCTGTATCCTTTGTCGTCATAGCCTCCAAACACGTACAGCTTCCCGTGAACACAAGCGCCACAGCTTCCGGACATGGAAGTGGGAAGCTCCCCTTCCATCAGGTGCATCCTCCTGCAGCAAGAACCACAAGCATCCCTTCATTCTCCACAACTGTCACTGCCAGTTACTACTACAGTATAATAGTGGCCAACATATAAACACTCTAAGACGATCTACAGGAAAGACTTCAACTTGCTATGGAAAACAATCACAAAATTTGTATACATTAACATCAGAACTAGGAATCAGAACAATAAAGTCATCAAAGTATCCGTCCTGACAAGATTAATAAAGAACAAAGAAAAAAAAAAAAAGAAAGGACAAAGAACAGAGAAGGAGCTGGGGAGGCTGAGGTAGGAAGATTGTCATGAGCTCAAGGCCCACCTGGGCTACATAGAGACCCTATATCAAAAAAAAAAAATCAGCTGGGGATTTGGCTCAGCGGTAGAACGCTTGCCTAGCAAGCTGGAAGCCCTGGGTTTCGTCCTTGGCACCAAAAACAAAAAATAAAAAAAAATAAAAAATCAGAACACTGAAAATAACAGAATGGAGAAACAAGGAAAAGACAGTAAAACAAAAAAGGCAAGAGAAATAACATACATGTTGCAGTACCTTCTCAGCACAATCTCAAACTCCCTGCAGCATAGGAAAACACTTATAAAACATTAAAATTGGACATTATATAATTTAAAATTACTTACCACAGCCCACTATCAATATCATAGGTCCAAATTTCATCATTAGGCAAATATACTTCATTGTCTTCAATGGACTAAAAATACAGAAAACATAAAATTATGTTTCTCAATTATATAGTGACAATTAGTTCCTCAGGATTATAAGAACTGCAATTAAAATACTACAAAGGAAATCAGAATCAAAGATTATCTTCAATATAAAACCAGATAGATCTAAAGAGAAAAATGGGAAAACAATAAACATTCAGGATATAAAATGGCAAGTAGATCAATCTCATGAAAAGGACCAGAAAAAAAAAAAGAAAGAATAGAAAAGGACCAGAGTAAACTTTCAAAAGGTATTTTAAGTAAGGGAAAAATAGCAAAGTAAGACTTATAGCAAAATATTAATGGTTATGAGGCCAGGAAGACATGCGTGGAGGACTGCCAACAGTCTGAAGCCTCTGTGGGCACACAGTGTTCAAAGCCAGCCTGAACTACACAGAGTCTCTGTCTCAAAAAAATTAAAACAAAACAAAGCCAGGAAGAAAAGGAACATCAATAAAGGGCAATACATTTTGGGTGAAGGAATTATGGAAGAAAAAATTTTTTAAATGTAAATACAAGTAGACTGTATCAGTACCTTTGTTTAATGAATTTTTTTTTTTTTTTTTTTTTTTTTTTTTTTTTGAGACAGGGCCTTGCTGTGTAGTTCAGGCTGATCTTGAATTCACTAGGTGGCTAAGGATGGCCTCAAACTTGCAGCAATCCTCCTGTCTCAGCTTCCTGAGTGTTGAAATTCTAGGTGTGGAGA